AAAGACTTAAGAACAAAAATCAAATTTACTCCCCCAACCATACTGTGTTAGGAACTCAAACTACACAATAACGGTTTAAAATAACGACTTCACCAGAAATAGACAGAAGCCAGATGCCAACTGAATCCAGCTCCATGGCTCCTACTAACCAGACACATTTATTCTGAACTTGGGAGCCCTCCCAACAGGCCAGGGCCAGGACCAGGTTTACAGCTGAGGAGGAAAACGGCTGCAGGTTCGCACGCACGTGGGTATGCACGAGGCACACACAGTGCTAGCGGAAATGAATTTAAATTACTTTCAATTGTGATCCATGGAGCAGATGCAATTAACCGGGAGATTTAACTCTTGGTCTTTAGGGAGGGACTGACAGTTTAACAGGAGGTTATTTTAAAAAGATGGCTCAAGGACCAGCGTGTACACCAAGGGAAAACCAGGAAGGAAAGCACAGGAATGTTCACGGGCTGGAAGGGAGGATTGGGAGGGGAGCGTAGAAATCAGTCTCACCTCCTCCACCACGAAGAAATCATTCCCCTAAACCCCCGAGGGAAGGAGCTAAGTCTAATTTATAGATTACAGAAATTAAATCTAATTTTCTGCCGAAATTTTTCATGTGGTATCCTTGGTGGAAGAAGAAAGGACAGAGAACGGAAAACCAGGGCTGGTGCCAGACCCCAGGGAACTGGACTCGGCAGAAAGTGCAATGAGGCTCCTTCTCAAGCAGCATCTGACTGCCTGGTTCTTTTAAATGTGGGGAGATGATGCGAGGATGGCAGCCCTGTGTGGCAGCAACGCGGGCAACAACATTTAAGAAGAATTCCTAAGAGCGCTCTCTAGAACCGAGCAACAGGCCACACACAGCGCCGAGTGTCCATGCAGCCAAGTGCACAGCGACCCTGTGATGACCCCAAAATGCCCACCTGTGGCTTTTTAGTTATTCCACATGCAAGCTCTTTAAAAATAAAGGTTAGAACCTCTGATACTAAATTTAACTTCCTAACACCTTAATTCTAGCAAGATTACACACACTTGTATCACAGGAGGCTCATTTTCTCATTTGTTTCAAAAACATTTACTGAAGCCCACGTTTGATTTGAGTAATGCAGGAACATAGCACAGAGTGAATGAATGGAGTCTGTCCGTGAGTCTGTCACTCATCAGAAAAGGGCTCCAAGAGCTCTGACACCCAGACCATATTTACCTGAGCTATGACATCTGAGATTGAGGCGCATCCCACCAGGAAGCTGTATTTGTGTTTTAAGAGGATGCCAGCATGGGTCCATGCCTGCCAGAAGAAAAAGAATTGGCATGAGGTACACCTTTGGGATTATATTATTTCTGGTCATTGTGATATAATGGACATCCCTGAAATAGACTTTATGCCCTCTAAAACCTCAGTAGTGCAGGTTGGTATATCTTTGGTTGGTAAAATGATTGTAACTGGTGGCTACATCCCTGTTAGATTTTTAAAGAGGAATCAGTGACTGCACAGTATTTATCTTATACCAACTATATGCAGATTAGTGCACCGGTTAGGTTCACAGGCCTGGTGGGAGAGCTGGGTGGACACCAAGAATGGAGAAAGCTGGTCACTCTCTTGGAGCAGTCGGAATCACGGAGCAGCAGCTTCTCCATAGAAAAAGCATGTCATAATGAGGGCTCTCACTTGGTCCTGAGTTACTACAGTCATTACAAGCTCTCACTCATTGATTAGGGTTCCACTGTTACCTTCTCTTCAAGTTTGGGCAGGACTTGACCTGCCACTTTGTGCCTTTGAGGGAAATTAAGAGGAAAGCCCTTTAAGGGGAGTAGGTGATGAAAAGCCCAGGGGACAGCAGGTTTGGAGAAGGCTTGAAGTTCACGAGAAGATTGCTATAAGGACTATCCTAACTGGAAAGGTCGACCGGCCTGACCAGAAATAGCATTCAGCTGTGCTAAACAGGTCTGTGTCAAGACTTTACATAGCAGCTGCTACATCTACTTCCTTCCTCAGCCTATGGGTCCCAAGGTGCCAAATGTGAAAAGAAATGCAAACTATAGATAACATTTGCAAACAGCAGCTTCTGGGCTATCTTTGTTGACCAAAAGCCATCTGGATGATAAGCTTTGTGGTTTTCAAACATTATCTCTCCAACCAATATATTAGGGCCATGCT